CGGGATGATGCCCTGCTGGTCCTTCTCCTGCTTGCCCATCATGGTGTAGGACTTGCCGGCCCCGGTCTGCCCGTAGGCGAAGATGCAGACATTGTAGCCCTCGAAGGCGTGCTGCAGCATCTCCTCACCGATGTCCCGGTACACCTGCTTCTGCGAGGCGTAGTTGATGTCTTCCGGCTGCAGGACAAGCAGGGGGTGTGGCTGCCAGAGGCTGGGCTTGCAGACGCCTCAGCCCACCCTGCTCACTGAGCACCCACACGACGCCCAGGGCCTGGGGCACCAGGGCCAGCAGAGTGGGGAGGGACACCTGCCCCGCCCACCACTCACAGGCGACCTGGAAAACGGAGATAACCCTGAGGGGGTGGTGGGCCACTTCTGGAGGGAAGAGTGGGGGGATCTGGCCGGGCCAGGGTGGGACAGGGTGGAAGGAAGGACATTTCTGCAGAGGGAACAGCATGTGTGAAGGCTCAGAGGTGGGAGCACATGACACGGTGCTCAAAATCAAGGCTCAGTGTGGCAGCCGTGGGAGTGATGAGGTGGGGTAGGAGAGGTGGCAGGGCCCAGGGGCCCAGGGGCCCAGGGAGCCAGGCCGTAGTGCATGGACACGGTCCTGAAGACAGCCGGTTACTTTAGATGCGCCCGGGATTACTCTGGGGATAGGAGGAGGAGGGGCTGGACAGGAAGGTGACATGGGGAGCCCTGGGGCTGCTCTGGGGCCAGGCACTCAGAGGTATGACCTACAGTGGGCCCTGGCCCTAGGGCAGGGGGCCTGGACACCTTCAGGGTTCAGGAGGCTGGGGGATGGGCAGGACGGGGTGTGGGCTGGATGGCGGAGGCCTCCCAGGCTCCCAGGGGTAGTGGAGGGCGCACAGGGGCTGGGGCCAGGTGGGCAGGTGAGTTTGGGATGTCTTGGGGAGGAGAAGCTGGCAAGCAAATGGACGTATGGCTCGGACCCTGGGAAACCGCCCACAGTGAGCTGACAGCCCCTTGGCCCCTGCCTCAGCTGGGGACAATGCGTGTTGCAGCTCAGGGCGACCTTCCACACACAAGGCCTCTCAGGAGAGAAGGCCCCTCCCCCAGGCCTCAGCCCTCTGCCCCCCACCCAGGCCCCGGAGCCCCCACCCCCGGCTCAGAAAGGTCAAGGGACTGGCCAAGAGCCACAAAGCGAGCAGGGCTGAGCCAGCACCCACACGGCAGCCCCCGCCCCGGGCCCAGCCCTGGGCTTACGGAGGTGTGCGACCAGTAGGAATAGTCGAAGCTGAAGCTTTTTGGCGTCTCCTTGGGCTGCTTGGGGTTCACGATGGCTGCGGGAGGGCGACGAGCACAGGGGTTAGAGCTGCGGTGCAGGGGCAGGCTGCCCCTGGGCACGCCCACCTGAGAGGGACCCCGAGGCAGGCAGATGGGGTGCTCAGAGGTCTCTGGCCCTAGAAAAACCAGTCCCCGCAATGGGAAGGGACGAGGACCCCATTTCCAGGTAGGCAAGCCATCTCTGCGCCCACCTCTGTCTGCTGCCCACCAAGACAGCCCGGAGCTGTCCCTGCAGACACCGGGTCAGACCAGGAGCCTGCGGCCCACCCTCATCCCTCGGGTCCACACCCTGCTCACCTCCCCCCGCCCAGGTCTATCTGCGTCTGCTCTGATGCACGCACCCTAGGAGTGCCCAGAAGGCTGAGCATTCCGTCCCAGTCACAGCCCAGTCTCCGCACACCACACCCGTGTGCTGGCCCGTGTGCTGGTCTGTGTGCTGGCCCGTGTGCCCGGGGCGTGCTGACTGTCCCTCTGCAGGGACACCACACAGTGTATTCCTCCTCCTGCTGGTGCACCTGCAGGTCCCGGCTGGGTCTGCTCTCAGGAGCTCCAGGGATGGTCCTCTGCATAGATCTGTCCCTCCCCGCACCTCCCACCCCCAGCTGCACCTCTGCCGGCCAGAGGCGGTGCTCTCGAAACTTCAGGTCATCAAAGGAAGAACGAAGCCTTGGACTCGCAATGCTGCCTTGCCCACTGCCAGGGGGTGTCCCAGGATCCCCCAAGACTGCAGCACCCCAGTGTCTCCCGGCCCTGGACAGGTCATGGCTTGCCAGGCCTAGACCCAGCAGGCAGCGTGTCCTTGGTGGCCGGGCAGAAAGCCACTGCCCCATCAGACTGCCCTCCAGGACACTGTCTGCACTCCCGGTGTCTGTGTTGACACAGGACTCCAGGGGCTGGCTGGAGGCAGAAGCCTCTCTGGGTTTTCACGTCCACCGGGAGTGGGGTCGGCCCAGCGCTAAGGGCTCCAGGCCACGTGGGAGGCCACTCCTCACCATGCCGTCCCACCTGAGCAGCCCAGACCCTCGCGCCAGCACCCCCATACCTGGAGGCGAAGGCCGTGCCTGCCCGCCCCTTGAACTGGCTTTCCTCAGCCGCAGGGGGCTGGGGGGCCTCGTCTTCCCAGGCTCAGCCTCCAGGACCCCACACCCCTGCCCCACCAGCACGTGTCCAGGACGGCCTGCAGCTCCCACCAAGAGAACAAGCCCACCTTTGCTGTGGGTTGAATTACACCCCGTCAAAATTCACACGTTGGAGTCCAAACCCCAAAGACATCAGAATGTGACCTTATTTGGAGCCTGGCTCCCTGCAGATGTAACTGGTAAGGATGAGGTCACACTGGACTAAGATGGGCCCTAATCCAACAGGACTGATGTCCTTATAAAAGAGGGACTTTAACACAGACGCCCACCCACACGGGGAGACGGCCCTGTGAGGACGGAGGCAGAGACTGGGGAGGGGCTTCTGCAAACAAGTCAAGGGACACCGAGTATTGCCGTCAAACCACTGGAGGCTGGAGAGAGGCAGAGTGGCTTCTCAGCCCCGACCTCAGAAGGAGCCAGCCCTGTGACACCCTGGTCTCGGGCTTCCACCCTCCAGACCGGCGTCTAAGCCTCCCGGGCTGCGGGGCTCTGCTGTGGTGCCCGGGGGAGCTGAGGCCCCCAGCGGCCCAGCCAAGCTTCCACAGCCACCCGGGCCCCGCAGATTAAGGGCAGGCTCCTCGTTGCTTGCTCTGGCTAAACACCCTACTCACAGCACAGCTGTCACTAGGAGCCTCGTCCCTGGGGCTGACCCCGCTTGGGGCCCCAGACCCCAGGCTTGAGGGGTTCTGGGTGACACGGCGCCCTTCAGAAGCCAGCAGCAGGGAGCAGGTGACTGACCAGCGCAGCCCTTTTTTTGGAGCCCAGAAGGGGTCGTGGCCATGCTGCCTCCAGGAGCCAGGCTGAGAGGAGACCTGACTGCCCGGGTTCAGCTCCTGCTGGGGCCGGGGACACGGCCGCCGGAGCCCGAGAGCAGATCATGCCGGCGCCGTGGAGACAGCAATCACAGTGCTGCCTGCACATCGCGGCCTGGGCCCGGCCTCAGACAGCTCGCCCTGCCAGCGCCCCACCTGTGCACCGCACCTCCTGCTCCCTGTCCCGCGGCCCGGGGTCCAGACAGGCCCGGCCCCGCCCCATCCAAGCCTCTCACCTCTGTCAGCCAGGACACCTGCCCAGCCCAGGCGCCGACCTCGCTCTGACAGTGTCCGGGTTGGGGGTCCGCTGTGTGGACCGTGAGCTCCCTGAGGCGGGAGCCCCCCAGGGCCAGGGCTCGGACGTGCCGAAGGGGCGCTGGGCAACAGCGAGGGTCTGTGAGCGGGGAGTGGACCACAAGGAGAGCCCGCCACGGGGACTGCCAGGCAGAGCTGCCCTGACCCTCAGGATCTGCTGTCACCTGCCCCCTCCCCTCGAGCAGGGTCCCGGGTGTGGCTGGGACCCCTGGCCCTGGGGGTCTTGAGCTGCAGAGGGGGAGGGCCTTCCCCAGAGTCCACCCCAGGCCTGCTCTCCACCAGTGCTTCCAAGGCCTCCCCAGAGCAAGCTGCCTGGGCAGAGGCTGGACGGGCAGCCACCTCAGCTCGCGGGTCTCTCCCTATTGTGGGTCTGAGGAGAGGGGACGGGACCCCGGGCTGCTGAGTGGGGGACTCAGGCCTGCTCACTGGACAGCTCTGTGCCCTCACCCCTGCTCTGGGCGAGCTGCCCGGCTCTGCAGGAGCACAGGGGACAAAGATGAGAGCCACGGGGGCGCCAGCTGGACAGGAGGCGGGAGCAGCAGGAAGGGGCTGAACAGGAAAAGTCGCTTCTCAGGGTCTGAGGCCCACGAGCCCGGGAGCCGTCCTGGCTCCTCCCAGAGCTCGTGGTTTGGCGCGGAGGAGCTCTGCGGGTTGTGGTTAAACCACTCGTGGCTTGAAACTGGCCACGGGGGCAGTATTTACACCACGGAAACTGGCACAGCGTCACGGGCGGGTGGGGACGAGGCCACTGCCCAACACCTGCAAGATTTAGGAGGTGGCCTCGCTGAAACAGACACCGAAACATCAGGTCAGGGGTTTCGGGGGAGTTCGCTCAGGGTCGGGCTCCTGGCCGCCCTCACTGCCCGTCAGCGAGGACGCTCGGCCGCACCCACTCTGATGGCTGGGGCAGCTCCCCGCTGCTCTGACTTGGCTCGCACACCCCGCACCCCCAGCAAGCGCCCACCCATCACTGCCGGCCTGATTCCGCGAGGCACGACCCCTGCCACCGGCCTGTCTACTTCCTCCTCCGCGTGCCCACTGGAACGTCATCCCTGGGGGCAGTGAGGACGCTGTCCTGCTCCTTGGCCCCCTGCCAGGAGTGGGGCCTGGTGCAGGCTGGGCCTAGGGACGTTCGCTCTGACAGGGAAGGGGCCCCCACCTTCTCCTCCCCGCGGGGGCCAGCTCCGCCCCTGTGGGCTCGGGGCAGCAGATGAGGCCAGGCAACCCCTGCGAGTGAGGAGCCCAACATGACCCCCACGGCAGCCCCCAGGGACAGGCAGCTCAAGCCGGCGAGCTGCCTCTACACAGCGCTGGCAGGGAGCACCAAGGGCATCGAAGCCTGGAGCCGACCGGTGACCACGGGCCCCCGGCACCCTTGCTGACCAGGGCCCCACCAACCTCAGGGGACCCCCTCTGACACCACGCATCTTCAGCCATTTCTTTAGCAGAACCGCATCACTCTCTCCTGGCTACACTCAAGCTCCTTTCTGCGGTCCCCCATGCCTGGTCTCTTTCGATTTGGAGCACGGAACATTCCAGAATAGTGTGGCAAAGGGACTGACTTCTCTGATGAGTTAGGCTTTGAGACCGTAGAGAGGCTGCTGGCCGACAAGGGCCTTGTGGGAAAGACGGCAGCGAGCAAACAGCGGTGTCTGCGCGGGAGGAGGTCAGGAGGGTCCCAGTGGACCGTCCAGAACGGTGGTCCATTTCCTGAGCACACACTGGCCCCAGCTGACCAGGACTCAGTAGGAAGGCTGGAGGCAGGAAGGCCAGGCTGGGCATGAGCCTGCGGGGCCTGGGGGCGGGCGGCAGGCCCTGAGGACATCGACAGACGGCAGAAAGAGCAGGGAGGCTCGGGGCTAAGTCCTCTCTGCAACTCCGGCCGCCAGGTCCTGTGTGCTGCAGGGGCCTGGGGCTCCGCCTTCCGGACCTGCTCTCGTTCACGACTCCCTGTTCATTCTGTGGGTGCCAGGCCACCCGCTTCTCAGAAACGCTTGAAATGACTTACAGTTAGAAACAAAACAAAACAGCAGACAAAGGAAAGCGCTTCTAAACCAAGGGCACTGAAACAAGACGAGAAATCGGGAGCCTTGTGTCCTGGGTTGAAGAGTGTCCCCAAAACTCACATCCACCCTGAACCTCAGAATGTGACCTTATTCAGCAGGGTCTTTGAAGCTGTAGTTAGTTACTGAAGTGAGGTTATAGCAGATCAGGGCTGCTCCTAAATTCAACGGCCGGTGTCCTTATAAGGCCACACAAAGACACAGACAAACAGGCAGGGAGGCCACCAATAACGGAGGGGGCTGGGTGACACAGCAACAGGCCACCACCAGGAGCCGCCAGAGGCAGGACCTCAGGGGACGCAGCCCCATCACACCTTGAGTTTGGACTTGCGTCCACAGCTGTGCGAGAGTACGTTTCTGTTTGAAGCTGCCCAGTTTGTGGTCGTTTGTTACGGCAGCCCCGAAACCAACGCCCCATGTGGACGAGGAGGGACCCCGAGGCAGGCGGCCGCTGCGCCTGGCAGGGAGGCCCGGGGCCTCGGCCCCGGAGATGGGCAGCCCCACCCGCCCCGCCCGCCCCGCCGCAGCCGACACTCACTGGTGGTGCTTCCTGACATCTGGATGATACACTTGGAGTCGCGGCTCATCTCACGGGAATTGAAGGGGCGGACGCGCACGGCCACCTTCACGGAGGCCCCGGCCATCTCTGCGGCCTGCGTGGGTCACTCCTAGCAGCGGTGGGAGCCCCGGCGAGTGTGGGAGACACCCTGGGGAAAAGAGAGGCGTGAATTAGAAAGATACTCAGAAAAGGCAGAGCAGCTGTTTCTGGTTGCAATGGAACCCCTTCCCCTGCAACCCCGCAAAGACGCCTGCTCAGAACACCCGCCCCCCAGGAGAGGCACAGAGCGGAGCAGCTGCGGGAGAGCAACGCCACGAACTGTAGGACAGAAAGCCAGCGGGGTGAGTGGGGCCTGGGAAAGCAGGAGCCCGGCGAGAAGCAGGCAGCCTGCTCCCAGGACCCAGGCACCCCAGGCGCCTCTGAAGGCCAGAGACGGGGTGGGGCGCAGACAGGCTTGTGTGGGACACCAGCCCAGGGAGGCCCCGCGACGGGTTAAGTCACAAGCCCTGAAGTGCACGTGCTGGAGTCCTAGCCCCAGGGTGTCGAACGTGGCCTTATTTGGAGACAGGGGCCTCGCAGATGTGCCTGGTTCAGATGAGGCCACCCTGAGTTGGTGGACCCTAACCCAACGTGACCGGTGTCCTTACAAAGAGGAGACTTTTCCTTAATAGAAAAGAGACACACACCGAAGAGCGTGTCATGTGCAGACAAACACAGAGACCTAGGCGATGGGTCTGCAGGCCAGGGACTCGGGGCAAACTGCCAAACGGCGGGCAGGCCGCAGGGGGAGCCAGCCCGCAGACTCCCCGACGCAGGCTGTCAGAGGAGGGCAGGGTTCCTTGACGGGCAGGACCATCTCCTCTAGCAAGAAATACAGAAACCTAAACAAACAGAAGAGGCACACAACAGGAAAACACCACGCAGCAAGAGAAGGAAAAGACTGAAATACCTTGTAATTAGTATCCTCAGAAGGAAAAGTTACCTGTGAACAAGTGAAGGTTGCTTCTTTTAAAAGGACATTTAACGAATACGGAAGATTTCTCAGAAATTAAGAATATGAAAACAATCTTTAAGAGTAAAGTAAAAAGCTGGGGATACAACCAAGTACTTTTCCATGAGAGGAGGAGGAGAGAAATAAAATTGCAGGTCAACAAAAAGACACTTTTCAAGCAGTAATCCAGGAGAGCTTCCTGGCACTCGTGGCCACGGGTTTCCAAATTCGAAGGGTGCGCCTGGCCCACCTACTGTAAAAGGTCGCACGTCGCAGCAAACTGTGACATCTCAGGAACTCGGGGCTAAAGGGGAGGGCCCAGCAGCTTCCGGAGAGGAAGGCAGACCGCGAGAGACGGAGCATCAGAAGGGCCTCAGCGTCCCACGGACACCAGCTGAAGAGGCGCCTTCAGACTGCCGAGCTGCGCTGACGCTCTGCCTAGAATTCCAAGCTCAGCCAAACTGCAGCCGAGAGTGAGGGTGGACGGAAGACCCGGGAAGACTCCGGAAGTGCCAGGCCCCGGGCTCCAGCACGCAGGGAATGAAGCGAGTCGTGGGTGGGGAAGGCCTGGGATCCCAGCCCAGAGGATGGGGGAGAGGTCCTAGGAGGACCCTGGGCTGCCTTGAGGAGGACACCCCCGCCGGAGGCAATGGACACCCACCCGGAGAGAGAACGGGGCTGCAAGGCCGGAGGTGGCCGCGCCACAGAGAAGCGCCCGGGAAAGGGTTTGATGAGGTGTTAGCGACAGGCCTGATTTGTCATCTACTCTGATAAAACATCCTACAAGGAGAAAATAACGGCAGAGTGCCGTCCTGGGAGCCGCAGTGTGAACGCAAAGCACTACCCGAACGCAGAGGCGACGTGGCGGGAAGCGGGGGAAGGTGTCGTGTGCAGTGGGGTCGTGGGTGGCGCGGCGGTGGGCAAAAGCTGACTGTGTCACTACGGGGATCCAAACGGATTCAAAGAAACAGAACCGGAGGGGCAGCGGTGGCTCAGGGGAGGGCGCATGGGAGACGCGGGCAGAGCTGGGGGCTGTCGGCTGTAGGGGAGCCAGCCCCGATGGACTGGGACACATCTCCAGGTGTCACCCTGGCAAAATTTTAAGAACAAGCAAAAGGGGAAAAAACGAAGGGGAACTGCCGCTGGGGAGGTGAACCCAAGGTGTGGCCGCAGCTCTGCAGGCCCACTCTGCAGCCTCTTGGGTGTGGGTGTGGAGCTGACCTTCACGTCCACCTGAAGGTCATGCCCACACGAGGAGGCAGCTCCCCCTGAGGACGCCGGCCAGGCGGGCTCCTAGCCAAGCCTGTGCCCACTCAGGAGGGCCATCCTTCCCTGGGCTGGAAGCCCACAAGCCGGAGGGGAGCAGACAGAGCTGTGCCCAGGAGACGGGAGGGTGAGCAGGAGGGGGTCAGCTTCCCTGTGGGGGGGGTCCCAGCCAAGGAGGTGGGGACTCGGGCATAAGCCAGGCCTGTGTAGGGCAAGGAGGGGCCCACATGACACCCATCCTTCCCCTTGCAGGGGGTGGCCCCTGGGCATCCATCTGCCTACCCTACAGCTCCCAGGCTCCCAGGAGAGGGGCCCTGGGGAGAGGGGCCGGCTGAGGGGGCAGGCGCACTTGTTGGTGGCAGCCCTCTCCCTGCCTCGGAGCAGGACGGAGCACAGGATCCCAGCCCTCTCCCAACCCAGCTCCAGGCAGTTTCCAGTGAGGACAAGTGCGCTCCACCCAGGACAGCGGGCTGTGGTCAGTCCCCCATGAGCCAAGAAGAGGGCAGGGCGGTGGCCTGGGGAGCCCTGGGAAGGCCGGGGCGGGGAGGCCTGTGCGTGCCGCCTCGGCCCCGAGGGGGGTCACTCGGGAGCTGAGTGTAGGGGAAGGTACATGGTGCTGGGGCCTCCACCCCACCTGGCAGGAAGGTAAATATTCACGGGAATGGAAACGGCATGGAAAGTCTTGTTCCCACCAAAGCTGCCACTGCTGAAGACCAGGTGACACGCTGCCTGAGCTTCCACGGCCGACCTATGACCTACGACTTGAGACCTACAGAGGCAGAGCCCTCCTGGCCCTGCCCAGCAGGGGTGGGGGTCTACTGAGGGGCACCTTCCCACCCACAGGCCCACGTCCCTGCGGGGCCCGTCTGAGGGTGTCTGGGGGTCCCTGGAACAGAACACTCCTCAAGCGTTTGTCTCCACAGGGAAGAGCCGTCAGGTGTGTCCCTGAAGCTGGGCCTCTTCAGAGGGGTTTTGGCTCCTCCCAGAGCACCCCAGGGCTGAGGCGCAGGCAGCCCCAGCGGCACAGAAGGAAGAGGGTAGGGTAGCCCGGGGCCGTCGGGGACCATTGCGGGTCGGGACCTAGCGGGCCAGCCCCGAGCTGGGCACCCAGCCCAGCCTCCAAACCACCCTCAGACTCACACTCCGAGCCCCAGCCCAGCCGTCAGCCCCGACGCCCTGACCCAGAGCCGCACGTAGGTCCTCACCAGCGACAGATGCAGCGGTAAGCCGGGCTCTCTCTGTGAATGAAAACAAGACCCTCATCGAGCCTGGCCCTCATGTCACCAGCCCGTCCGGGACGATCTAAAGTAGGATGTCCACACGCACCCTCCACCTGGGCTCTGGCTGGCGGCCGCGACCGGGAGCAGCGTGATCTCCTCCTGCCCCTGAGGCAGCCAGCAGCGCGGAGGCTGTGGGAGGTCTCTGAGACCCTTCCACGTGGAGGCGCCATGGCATCTCCACCTCTGAAAAGGGACTCTTCTGCCTCCGCCATCCCACCTGTGACTGACACCCTCAGGAAAACCTGGCCAAACACCCTCTTCCAGGAGGGGGCAGGGACCTCCGGGTGTGGACCCCAGGACCAAGAGCAGGAGAGGGCAGAGACCCAGGGCCTCTGCAGATGGAGAGGAAGGCACAGCCAGGCTGGGGTCAACGCTCTGCAGTCCCAGGCCCTGCCCAGGGCCAGCTCCTCACTCAGAATCCCCAGAGCAGGCTGGACCCTCAGGCAACACAGCTCCTCCTGGGGCTACAGGGAGAGAGGGGAGAGCCGACCAGCCAGTGACTGAGGGCCCACAAGTTCAGGACATGAGCAAAGCCCAGGGGGATGGGGAGCAGAATTCAGGGGCTGGAATCGCGCGCAGCCACACCTCCCAGCCCCCAGCAGCCCCAGTGTGCACCCTCGTCTACACAGCAGAGTGCTGTTTCCAGCACTGTTTCAACTTCTTACGCCCATGAATGACCAGCAGGTGGGACTGGACGGTGCACCTCTCTGAGAATCCATGTTCCCTTGTGCTCGAAAATCTTTGTGCTTTTGAAATTGAGAAAAGTCTTAGGACGTTCTGGCTGGAAAGGGTCATGAACTCCTGATGAGAATGCAAATCGGAATGAGAGTTCTAGCAAGCACTTAGCATCAGGCCTTATGGCTTAAAAATAAAGGCTGTACCCTTTGAGCAAGCAATCCCAGGTGCTGAACTGGTAATAGTTAGAAACGAAGAAAATCCTTATGAAAGACATTCTGATTTGATATTGCAGAACTGCCCGCTCTCCCCAAATTCAGCTATGTTAATTCAGTGCAACTCCAATAAGCAAAGTATCCTAGCAGGATTTTCGGCGGAAGCTGGCGAGTGTCTGGAAGGGAGTTTTGAAGGATAAGAACAAAGAGCCTCCCCAGCAGCTCTCGCACTTGCTGTGAAGCCGCCACCGTCTCCCAGGTCCAGGACAGACATGGGGAAGAGCTCAACAGAAGGGACGGCCAGACAGGCGGACACACGCACAGGCCGGCCCCGCAGGCGGCGGAGCAGCCCTGGAGGGCTTGGGGGCGACAACTGGCCGTCCCAGGCTGAAAAGCAGCTGGACCTCATCTTCGAAAGCGTTACGAGGACATGCTGGAGACGCCGCTCACGGCCGCGGGGAGCAGCGATGTGCTAACGCTGAGCATGAAACGTGAAGGAGCACCTGTGCGTCCAGGTGGCGGAAAGCGGCTCCCTTCAGCGGAGGGTGTTGCTCCCTCCCGCCACGCACAACCCGGAGGAGCTGGACACGATTTTTAAATCTGAAGCCGCGCAGACCGGCAGGCCAAGGCTGCAGGCACGGGCTGCCGGGCCCGGGACGCTAGCGCCCCGGTCCCGGCCCAAGACCGCAGCAGAGGGGAATGAAGCTGGGAGGCCGAGGTCCCAGAGAAAGCAACAGGGAACGAAGCCAAACAAATGGTGCGTTCTCCCCTTAAAGACGTGTGCCCAAGTCTGACCGTATGAGGGGTGCAAGTTTAAAAACTCCAGCGGGGGCCCCTGGAAATCTAAGAGAAGTCTTCCAGGGTCTCAGGTGCCATGGAGACAGAGCCAGAGTGCAGGGTCCACAGGGAGGAGGCCCCTCTGCAGCCGCACCAGGCTCTGACCTGAAAGCCCCGAGAGGCACAGACTGGAAGGGTGGGACGCAACCACAGGCAGGATTCGCCTTCCGACCTGCAATACTGCCCTGGTCCCCGACTGGGTGACGGACGCCCTCCCTCTGCCTGCCTGGAGCAGAACACCTGAGCCGGCTGGAGTCTCGCAGCTGCTCTCAGCGGCCACGTCTCAGAAGTTACAAGGCGTGAAAAGAGACAGGGCCATGTGACTCAGAGCCACCTGGGAAAGAAAGGTAAAGAAAAACACAGAGACTAAAAAGAAACAGACCTGCACATGATCCAGATCTACGAGTCATCAAACAAGAACTTTAAACTAAGCACGACTTATACACTCAAGAGGGAAAGGATGGAGAAGATAAATGGAAAAACGGAACATTTTGCAAGAGGACTTGAAGTTACAAAAAAGAATCAAATGGAAATTCTAGAACTGAAAACACCATAACTGAAAGTAAGAACACAAGAGATTAGACGCAGCTGAAGATAGCATCCATGAACTGGAGAGCAGGTCAACAGAAAGTTAATGAACAGTGGAAACAAACAGAAGAAACCATGAAAATCAGCGTCAGGGAAACACAGGACACAGTGCAGTGGTCTAACATGCATGTGACTGAAATTTAAAAGAAGAAACAGAATGGGAGGGAAGCAACACTTCAAAAGATAAAGACCATTAATTGTCTGAAATTGCTGCAGTCCATCCATCCAGACTCAAGAAGCTTTGCAAACACAAAGCAGGGCCTCAAAGAAAACCACATCGAGAGACACGGTAGTGAGACTGCCAAGCAAGGATGGAGAGGGAAATCTTAAAGGCAGCCAGAAAAAAAGCCATACAACCTTCAGAGGGACAAAAGCGGACTGACAACTGCCTTCTCAACAGAAATGATGGGAGTCAGAAGACGAGGTCCCAAGGCTTCAGCATCACCACATCCGTGGAAAAGCAGTCATTTATGTTGGATTGTCAAGGACACGTCTCAACTGCTAAAGTAATTGTTACAAGAGCAGAAAAGGAATGCATAACTAAAAAGTTAATAGCAAGAAAAATGGGAAAAAATTCATATTTGTATTAATCCAATAGAAGGCAGTAAAGGTGGAAAAACAGAACAAAAAAGGTAAGTCAAATGGAGAATGGAACCTTCACACCCCAGATAAATGCCCATTTTCAGTTTTGTGGACTAAATTCTGCAAGTCAAGTATCATAGTTGCCAGAACAGGTTTGTTTTTTTTTAAATTACACTCTGTTGACAAGAGACAGCTTTAAATAAACAGACAGAGCGGCTGAAAATAAAAAGATAAAATCTTCTTAGTTTGCTTATTCTGTCAGCTACTGAAAAGGAAAAAGATGTATCATGTTCATCCTTTTAAAGTGCACGTGGAACATCTGCTAAAATTAGCCATATGCTGGTCACAAAGCAAGTTCTAATGACTCTCAATTTAAAATCAAAATCATGAGGCATATGTCCTCTGCCCACAGGAGAATGAAGCTGTAAATCGATACCAAAAAGCAAGCAATCAAAAACCCTACAGCCACCCCCCCAAATGTTTGGACATAAAGCAGTACGATTCTAACACCCCATGAGTCGAAGGAACAAACCTCACTGGCTAGTAGCAAACACGGGGAAGGGAGCAACACTGAGAGCACAGCGTACCAGAGCTGTGTGGGCCGCCCGCGCAGCACGCACAGGGGGGCACGTAGCTTCAAATCACGGGGGTGGGGCAGGGCGCCTTCACAGCAGACAACCCGACGCCTGCGTCCCCCAGGGCTGCGGCTCGCGGGCCAGGCCTTCGGGACTGGAAGGGCTGCCTCGAGAAGGACCGGGGTGGTTGAAGCAGCAGCTGAGGCTGCACAGAGCAAGGCTGTCGTCTTGCTCCCCAGTCACCCCAGCATCAGCAGGGCGGCGTGGAGGCCAGGCGGTGGCTGGTCGTGTGCATGTGCAGAGGAGTTGGGGCAGGAAAAATGAGTCTGTCGCTTGTGAGCACTGACTCTTTGAGTCATGGGAATGGATGAGATCAAGGAGGAAGAAGGGTTAGAAAGGAAGAAAGGCGGGGAAGGAGCTGGTGGGGAGAAGCCTGGGGAGTCTGACTGCTTCTCAAGCCAGCTTTGGACCTTCTGCCCGGGGAGGCTGGGGACCCAGCTCCTGCGCCTCATGGGGACGCCCCGGGGCAGCTTCCCAGCTTCCGGCCTTGCATTCGGCTTCCCTGACTCTGCTGTCAGCTACCACGTGGGTTCTGCTCATCTTCCAAAATGCGGTGTCTGTTCCTTCTCCTCTGTGCTTTCAATATCGTGAAAACTGACATTGCTCAATGGATGGGGAGGGGAGGGGAATAGCAGCTCCCATTTCTGGGAATAGGATGCGCGAGATACCTTCTTGTTAGAACTCACCTAGAAATTTGGGATAAACAAGGAGCGTCAGAAGAAGAGAGCTCTGAGAAGGAGGAAAAAGAGGAAGGAGGAGCTGAAATTAAAGTGGGAGCCCACCACATAAGCCCACCCAGGAGGGAGCTGCAGGCGTGTGCCGACACCTGAAAGGCAGAGAATTGGGTTCCACCCACTGAGCGGGGGATGGGAGGCACAGCCTCAAACACACACAAAGTCAGATCCTGCAAAGCCAGAGCCCCAGCGGAGTGGAAGGCTGGGAACAGCCACCTGCCATCAAAGGGACGTGGGAATTAGTCTGAATGGCTCTCAGCTCCACATGGCAAAAAAGCCTGTGATTCTGAGAATCTGAGGCCACAGACCTGCCCTCATGCAGGTCTGGGTTTCAAGCTCACAATGCCTGCAGGATGAGCGAAGCCCAAGGTTGGGAAATTAGCTCAGAGACGGTCTCAGATGGTCGCACCCAAAGCACCTTGCAAAAGCAAATACAGATCCACCTTGGGTGCAGCTCCCTCCCCTCGGGCCCCAACATTCCCACAGGTGAAGACGAGTCACACGTGAACTCGCAGTGAAGTGTTACCCAGCGCTAGAGACACGGGGCACCGTGAGCCAGCGTCGGGAAGGGAAAGGAGAAGAAAGCGGCTTAGTTTCCCTGTGTGAGCCTTATTTTTAGTACATTGGTTAACACAGAAGTTGTGAATTGAATGTTTTCTCATCTCCTGCATCCAAGAGTGAATCCATGGAATTCTCAGCTAGTAATCCAAAACAGTGTGTCCTATTCTTAAGAACAGTCGAAGTGCAAAGGGTCCAAATAGCCAGTCAGTCTGTGCTCTTAGAGAATGAATGAGTCCTGCCCGAATACAACAATGAAAGAAAAAGAAAAAGTAACGGTGTGCAGTCCAACGTGCGAATGAACGAATATTGAAATAACGCACGTTGTGGGTGTGTTTCAAGGCCTCACGCAGTTGCACCTGTTGTGCCTGTTCTGAGGTTAAGCCCAAGCCCAGAGTGCATGACTCTCTTCAAAGTATACCAAGTGCTGTGAATGCTTTGGTTCAGATGTGTCAAATCAGCATATACCAAAAAAAAAAAAAGGGAAAGAAAAGAAAACCAGAATTAGAGCCCCTGAAGGAGGACTTCAGCTGGTGCGACGGCCAGAAACAGATCATAAAATAAGTGTATTTGAAACGTTTACAGAACTAAGCAGGGGCGGGAAATAACGGAGTAGGATACAGGGGGTGAGAACCACACGGAACTCCCAGAAGTAGCAGTGCAGCCCTTTACATTTTAAAGCTCAGCAGACACGTTAATCAGTAAATTAAATGGAGCTGAACAGAGAATTAATGAGCTAGAAAATATGTCAGAAAAAATTGCCCAGAATGGTCCCAGAAAGACAAGATGATGAAGCCATAAAGCCAAGGCTAAAAGCCACGCGAGGCGGCACACTCCAGCAGCTTACCGCGGCCGGAGCTCTAACACCCTCACTGAGGACGGGCCACGCGGCGGGCGGCGACGAGGGCGCGGGGGACTTGGACGACGAGCACTCACAAACTGAGCAATGTGCGCTCTCGCTCTCAGGGATTAAAGAAGCACATCCTTCTCCGACACATGGGCACCATTTACATTACTTTACCAGGTAACAGGCACAAAGCAACTCCTAATAAATTTCAAAGACTTCATGTCAAACGAGTCACGTAATTTGAACACAATTAAATTAAAAATTAATGAAAGATCATTAAAAACCCATATGTTTAGGAATTTGAAAAATAAACTCCTAAATAACTAACACACAAAAGAAGAAATCACGATACAGATGTAAGTAGCCTTAGCAGTAGATGACCACGAAAACACCACCGGCAAGATTTACAGAACCCCCGTGTCCAGCCAGAGGGGAGTCCAGGGAGCACCCCCACGTCCGGCCAGGGGGGAGTCCAGGGAGCAACCCTGCGTCCAGCCGGGGGGGAGTCCAGGGACAGTACGCAACATCCCCCTGTAAACAACAGCCAGCAAAAGGGACAAAATGAATGAAAACAACTGTTCAGACACAGCACGACAGGCCGTGCAGGGCGTGAGCTCCGAGAGAAGGGAGACACCCGCGGGGAGCCCCGCAACCTCCTCCAGGTCCCCCTGCAGGCACTTACAGACCTCGGGTATGGGGAGGTGGGACCCACGCAGCTCAGCAACTCTGACGAGCTGAGGAGATTAAGGTCAGAGTTTAGGCAGGTTGAAGCAGGTGGAATCTGTGGGTCCGAGTTTCTGGATTGGAAAGGGTTGCTCAGTCACAGAGCTCCAGAAATTTGCACAGGGGTCCCCATGAGTCCGCAGACTACCAGTCCTCGCCCGGCTGGTCCTGGCAAAGGAGACTAGTGATCCCCAGTGAGAAGACATCTGCGTTCCCACCAACCAGAGTACCGTCTGCTCCCGACCCCTCCACCCCGGCCCCGGACCTTCAACAGAGACCCCAGAGAAATCACATTTTGCTGTGAGCTTAACTGTCCCCAAAGTGACATCTGCCCTAGAGTAGCCCGTACTAGAGTAACTCTAGAG